ACTAAGGACCGCAGGCTGTGCAACGATTGTCTATCTCTATCAAACATACGAACCCTAGCAAGACCGGGCGTTTCTTGAGCTAGGAGCTTGTAAAAAGTTGTATGTTTGTCATGATGTACAATTAAATGGTAGCTAAACCAAATTAGCTACCGCCCATTGTAAATTTTAGGTGTGTGCGTGTGATACATCACTGTTACGACTGGCTTTCCCGTCGTCGATCTCGCCACGCGGACAGCAGTAGATGGCTGAGGGGTCTAACCCAGGCTACTGATGATTTCGTTCCGCGGACCAGCGGAAGCATTTCCACATCTTGGGGCATTTGCAACCATGCGTACGCCACTTACAAGTTCGCCAGTTCTTACAGAGGTTCAATGGATTTTCAGCTGCGACAGTCGCACGCAGGCGCCAGACTTTAGCTAAGGTGTTGGCGGATTATAATCGCGTCGTTAGTTAAGATTTCAATGGATTTCTGTCACGACTTCGCGATTTTGTTTGGGTTTCATCGCGACTCATCTCGATCGGCCGTGCCTTGAGCCGGCTCCTTACTGTGGTCAACAGTTCTATTGTGTCGATGATATCCGCACCTATATTATAGAGCCGATCCGACGCACTACTATGTAAGTGTATGTAGTCTGATGTTTCTTCTTTTATTAAACGCGTTGGTTGAATAGCCGATGCATAAAGTAATTTATCTCCGTTGTCGATTCTATGTCTTCCTCTTTCGTACCACACACCACGTGACGGTTCAACCATGGTCACAATATAGTGATCGAATCTTAGACCGGTGGTAATGACCGGAGGAGTTATTGTGGCATTACACAATTGGATCACGCAAGGGGAAACATACTGTATACGCCATATTTTTCACGTACAGGTATTTCACGAATTCAGACCTGACGGAGAATTTCGCGAGTGGTTAAATTTTAATTTAAACCCTAACCCTAAGCCCGCGAGACCCGCAGGGAGTCAGCGAAATGACGCGAATTCGACGAGCACTGTCGTCGAAATCCTCAAGACGGTGACGGCGCCGACAGCGAGAGTCCTAGAGGAGTTTCAAGCCCTTGGCTGCCCGAAAAAGCACGCCGTATACGTGCAGAAGAGTTCTGCCGCCAAATGCGTCCGTCGTTTGCCGCGAAGGCAACGCCGCAGCGCGGTGGAAGTAGGCAGCAGCCCAGCATTCGTCATTGATGAGTCTTGACGCGAGCGAGCAGGACTGTCCATCGCGACGTTGCAGCTCGGACCGCTTCCGTCTCCGCAACCGGACGTTGGTGCGCCCGACGCCACGTCGTCTGCCCGGTTGCGAGGGCCGCACGCTGAGACACCTACGAGTGCGTCGCGTGTTCCCGGCTTGCCCGGCTTGCGTGCGCACGAGTGGGAAGCGCCGGCGTAGACGACCGCTACCGGCTAGGCGGTGTTTGCGCAGTGTGGCCGCGTAGCAACATTGGCTAAACACGACGCTCCAAGAAGAGAAGATGGTCACCCTGCCACAAGAGCAGTGCTAGAGCGGAGGTGACCGCTCGCCATCGCAAGGCCGACGTCCTGTGTTTGGCAGGCGGACAGAGCAATGTTAATGCTCAAATGTTATACATTTTTAATAAATTTTTATTGAAATCAGAATAATCAATAGTAGCAATTTTTTATGTAAAAAAAAGATGTCACCCCGACCCGCACCCGCCGGGCCGCAGCCCACACGACATTCAACGAAGTTATCATTTAGCGCCGCAATGCTTATTATTCTGCCAACTCTGAGGCCAGTTAACGCCGATGTCGGCCAAGTGGGGCACAGCCAGGCCGATATTGGCCTATGTACGGGCCAATATTATCTGGTCGCTACAGATTACACCGATATTGGGGCCACATATTGACCTGGTGCTGTTGTCTGTCTGGGTATATGCTATATCTAGTATATCCTTATATATGCTATATATTCTATTATCATATATGCTATATGTAGGCACACTATAACAATGTATCTAGGACATATCTATATTTATAACTTCTAAGTTCTAGTTAGTACCGAATAATTCTCGTTCCCAGCGATAATTTATCTATCATCTAATCTTTCATCTATCGATTCATATATAAATATATATTATAGAATAGCCTAGTAGTACTAGTAGTAGTACCGTAGTAGTACTAGTAGTGGTAGTACTACTACTACTACTACTACTAGTATATTGACGTTATTCACACACACACTGACACAGCCTGGTAAGCTATATTATTATATTATAATAATAATAATAATAATAATAATAATAATATAATAATAATATTATTATATATTATTATAATAATAATTAGTATTATATGTAGGCCTATATGTATGCTATAGTATATGCTATACCTATATGTTATATTTGCCTATATGTCTTATAAATATATATATATATATATATATAATCTTTCATGTTTCATCATTTTCATCATGTTTCATCATCAAGGTTTGTTTTCATGCGAATGGTAACATAAGAATCTATTATGATTGGTAGAATAGCTGGCGAGCTTAGCTAGGGCACGTGACTCGTGACGTCACGTAAAAAATTTTTTTCGTGTATTATCTCGTTCCTTTGAGCGCTCATACCATGTTATCTATATACATATCCATATTTATATAATCTCTTAAGTATAGATCAAATTTTTTTTCATGTAAATTTGAATAATAGAGAATAAGTCGGGCGTTTTTCTATTTTTCATTTGAAAATTGTTGTGGGGCACAGACCCGGGCGGCAGATTCAGCATTTTGGGAGTAGGCAGGAAGATGGCGCTGTCGGCGTCACTGTCAATGTTAAAGCGCGGATAGGCCCATGGCTTCTATCCAGATATTATTATAGACGATCAGTGGTGATACCCCGAGACTGTTTCTAGGCATGACGGGATAGAAGTCGAATGGTTTTCCCGATTGACTAGCACGAGCTACTAAGCCCCACAATAATTTACGCACACGCGCAACGATCGCGCACGTACGAACATACACATTCACAGCCCCCCCCTCACACAACACACACCAGCAACACATCACACAAACATACACACAGACACCACACACACGACACCGCACACACACACACACAACAGCACCACACACATCACATACACACACAAACGAGCAAACCAACAAACAACCATACAATACGACTACGTATATTACATCAACTTAATACATTGCATCCATACATGCAGCGCACAATGCCAATTTCTCCAACCCTTTGAAGGCTCAAATGCGGAATGAAATTAATTAACGAGGGAGGGGGGCGAAATTAACCTTGGCTGCCGCAAGCAGGCCCGCGTGCCGTAGGCATGCCAGTGGCTACGGGGGGCGTCTGGGGCCCCCAAAAAATAATTTAAGCGCCATTTTCCTCAATTTGAGGCATAGGCCTAGCTGTGGGCCATATTCTCATGGCCTGATTGCACTATCTCAAACTAACGGTAGGGGAGTCCTATGACTCAACCCTACAAGTTATCAGGATTCAAAACAGCTTTTATGACTTTTCAGAGAGCGGTTACACAGTTAGGTTACTAATATGTAATATACATTGTATTAAAAACAGCAGGTAAGAATTGCAATTTCTCACAATTTCACGTGTTTTTGTATGTTTTGCAACCATACTTTTTGGCTATTGTGAGTCCTGGAACATTTTCTTGAAGAGCTTCATTTGGGCATGGTCTGCCGCCCTCAAGGCACATTGTGTTCAATTTAAATAATCTGTAAATCTCACTTCTGCGTGCAAGGGCAAGAAAAATTGACAACCCAATCACATTTTCTTTGCTTTTTTCTTCTCTTCTTTCTTTTTTTCTCGTCACTTTTTTTTTGAATCTCAGGGGGGGGGATATTTGTACAGGCCATCCCCCCTCCTTCAAGAAAAGTTTGCAGTACCGGTACGAGGGAAGTAACCAGGGAAGAAGGAAGGCAATTCTGATATGGAATGGCAGCAGCGAAAAATCCTCATGTTTATATTCATAATTATTTTTTAAATTCATTGATCATATTAAATTGATATAGATATAGGGGCAGACAGAGGAGGCAGAGATCAAGAGAGAGAGAGAAAGAGGAAGAGAGGGGGCAGAGAGAGGAATTAAGAGAGAGGGAAACAGAGAGAGGAAGAGAGAGAGAGGGGGACAGAGAGAGGAAGAGAGGGGGTAGAAAGAGATGAAAGAGAGGGACAAAGAGAGAAAGAGAGAGACAGAGAGAGACAGAGAGAGAAAGATGGAGGGGAGGAGAGAGATGAAGAAAGAGAGGGAGACAGAGAGAAAAAGAGAAGGCAGAGAGAGAAAGAAAAGGGCAGAGAGAAGAGAGAGAGAAAGAGAGAGAGGGAGAGAGAGAGGAAGACAGAGAGACAGAGAAAGAGAAAGAAAGGGGCAGAGAGAGAGGGAGGGACAGAGCGAAGAAGAGAGAGGGGGACAGAGAGAAAGAAGAGGGGCAGAGAGAGAGAGAGAGAGAGAGAGAGAGAGAGAGAGAGAGAGAGAGAGGACAGCAAGAGGAAGAGGAGCGCACTGAGAGGGGAAGAGAAGAGAGGGGGCAGCGAAAGGGAAGAGGGACAGAGAGAGATTAAGATGGAGGCGGAGGAGAGGCGAAAGATGGAGGGAGGAGAGAGAGGGGGACAGAAAGAAAGAGAGTGGCAGAGAGTGAAGAGAGGGGGCAGAGAGAGAGAGAGAGAGCAGAGAGAGGAGAGAGAGAGGGACCAGCGAGAGGAAGAGAGAGGAGCAGCGAGAGAAGAGAGAGAGAGAGAGAGGGGGACAACGAGAGGAAGAGAGAGGGGCAGAGAGAGAAAGAGAGAGAGTGGTTGAGAGAGAAAGAGAGAGAAAGAGAGAGGAAAAAGGCAAATGGGAAATGCGTATGTCGTTGCGGGGTATGCACTCCGCCAGTGCCTTGTCCTAGTTATATATATAAAATGTAACACGTCGTTGGCTTTGTCCGAATACGAGCACGACTTCTCGCCAAAGCTGTCAACATCATTTGTTCGCGGTTTCTTTACCGCTGATGATCATAACTCCATGTGTCGCATGCTCCTGTGTTATCAGCATTCTATGTACAACTCTGCTATCATCGTGCTTGTATGGTGTGTGTTGTCCGCACATGAATGTTTGATCCCGACCGCGAAAGTATGTGAACTAACGAGAACCAGAACAGCTGACAAATACAACAAGATTAGGATTCCAAGTACACAAATTCTCATTTATTTTACAAAAAAAAGTTATTTAACAAAAATCTACATTGAACAATAAATCGTCTTGTTATTATACCAACAAAATTATTAATCATGAAATTATTATTTCGTATTTTGATTTTGTTATTTATAATTTTATCATCATTATTTACAAGCTGGCAGCTCTGTGGTGGACACCAGGGGGCGGCGGCTCTGCGGCAGGCACCAGCCGGCGACGCCTCTGCGGTGGTGGGCACCAGGCGGCGACGGCTCTGCGCTGGTGGACACCAGGCGGCGACGCCTCTGCGGTGGTGGACACCAGGTGGCGACAGCTCTGCGGTGGTGGGCACCAGGCGGCGATAGCTCTGCGGTGGTGGACACCAGGCGGCGACGACTCTGCGGTGATGGGCACCAGGTGGCGACGGTGTAGGCTGCTTTGTGGCGGCGGCGGTGTGGGCTGCTCTGTGAGGTGGAGGTCGTCCGTCGGTGGATCACAGAATCTGCGCTCTCCTGCAGGGTGTGCCCTGAAAACTGGCGACGTGCACGAAAAAAAAAGACAAAAGGACCAAAGACGACAGAAGGACAGACAAACTTTCACTCGCAACTATTACACACTGCGTTCTCATGTGAGCGTACGTTCGTGAGGCTTGCTATATGCAGTTTAATAAGACCATAGCGATATATATTTCCTACCCAGACCTAGCCGCCCGGCTGTCCAAATATTCGTTAATAATTTCGATATTGTCTATGTGACAATACGCCCGAAATCTGTCCATGTTTTTTGTGACCGAGTACGGTGGTAAGTATTTGTCAAAGAACCCATGATTGATATGAAAACCTAGAGAACCTTGTCATTTGATCCAAGCAAAAGAGTTTCGATATGTTGGCTGCAAAATGCGTCTGTATATGTTTTGACATCACCGAAAAGCTGGCTATCATTGTAATGACAGAACAACCCCATGTTGTACTGCCAGGACAGCCATAGAGAAATTTGAAGTCCTAAAAATGCGTTTTCGTTATTGAAGTCAATTCCGCGCTTTGAAACATTTATTCAACTATCCCTTCAGGATGCCAGAGTTTACAGTATCTGGCTTTCAGACAAGAGTACAGATGACAGTCCTAGTTGTCACGTTCGTCAATGTGTTAGACTACAACTAAAGATCTATGCACACATGCNAATGTGTTAGACTACAACTAAAGATCTATGAACACATGCACACACACACACACACCCGCAGCCCACCCCCAACACGCGACCATATAAAACACACAATCGATACGTACATGCCAACATGTGACGTTTGTATTAATAACAATAGCTGGCTAACGCTCCATTAGGAGTGTTACCAACTTTGATATCATTAATTATTAATGATTAATGATTGATAACCCTAACCCTAACCCTAACCCTAACCTTAATGACATTAAACCACAAACTAATATATGACCATGACCATATACATATATATATACCATTATGACCATTAATGACCGAACATTAAAGTTGCGCGCGAACACTCCTAAATGCGAGCAGCACCCAATAGGTAAAACGAGAAAGAAATGACATTTCGAATATACAGTGCCAAAAAACATTACCAGAACCTTAATTATACATGAAACATAGCGTGACACTCTTTATGAATAAGGATGAATAGTACAACAATACGTACCATAGAGATGCTCAGTGCCAAAACAAGCCGGGCATTGCAATGATATCCGAATATCTGCAGCGTCACCACGCTTTCGACGAACAAACAATGTCGCGTAAATATGTTCATGCATAAACAATTTTACATGCTCTCACTTAATCTGCTGATATTATATATTATAACTATATCTTATATATATATATATCACTGTCATGCTATTTCATCAAACTGTTTGTTGTTTCATGATGCAAAATGAGAATGGTGTAAAGTAAGCTGCATTCTTCTAATTCTAACCATTCTAAATGTTACAGGCACCTGACACCGGCGGCGGAGGGTTGGGACCTGTCGCAAG